GCTGCTCTGGGCGCCGATGAACTGGACCCTCAGAAGCTGCTCTGGGTGCAAGAACAATGACTTCTGCCTCCATTTTGTCTGGTTTTGTTTTGGTTTTGGTTTTCAAGACAGGGTTTTTCTGTGTAGTTTTGGAGCCTGTCCTGGATCTTGCTCTGTAGACCAGGCTGGCCTCGAACTCACAGAAATCCGCCTGCCTCTGCCTCCCGAGTGCTGGAATTAAAGGTATGTGCCACCACCGCCTGGCTTCTGGCTTCATTTTGTTGGCTACTTCTAGTTACATGGGAAGCTGGGAAGCCAACTTTGTATTATGTCTATTTATTCATGTATTTAGTGTGTGTACAGGTCACACATGTCACAGCATGCCTATGGAGATCAGAGGACAGCTTTCAGGAGCCAGTTCTTTCCTCCCACAATGTGGATCTCAGAGACTGAACTCAAGTTGTCAGGCTTGGTGGCAAGCATCTTTATGCATTGACCCATATTGCTGGCCTCTAGAGTTGTGTGTGTGTGTGTGTGTGTGTGTGTGTGTGTGTGTGTGTGTGTGTGTTCTTTTAAAATGTATAAAAACTGCTGTCATTACAGTGAAAAGGAGAGAGAAGAAGACAATAGCTAGGCAGCACGTGCCTCTTTGTGATTCTTACTTGAGCCTTGGAACATAGAGGACCCTGGTGTGAGGGCCTGTGGAAGCACATGGGGACACAGTGAGGTAGGCGAGCTGGTGCACTTCATTTGCATAACACGGCCAAGGCAAGAACATTCTGGGCCTGCCCAGCTTCTGTACCGTGACACACAAGTCCCCATTCAAAACCTGAAGGACTGAAAGGCCAGCTGAGCTTCACGTGGGGAACTGTCAGAATCTGCAAGGAACACAGATCCTATGACATCCTGTCCATGCCCATCTCTTCCCAAGCATGGGGACAGGACATTCAAAGACAAGCTAAAGAACTTCCTTCCCTTGGGACTCTCAGACTAACTGCACATGGGAATCGACTCCCCACTTCAGCCTTTGGCAAAGTCTGAAGCTGCAGCCAGGGGCTCCATGGCTGGGGCTGTGAACAAAACAGCGAGCTAGGAATAAGAGCAGGGGAGGTTTCATTCACCTGGTGGAATCCACGGGGCCTCCTGGAGGAGGCAGTGTTTGTTCACTACTAGCTGTTATTGGCTGAGCAGTAGACAGACACACCACCAAGGCAGCAGGGAGGGCCAGCAGAAGGATTTCATGTGGCCCAAGCTGAGAAGTGAGGGATGGTGTGTAATCCAATCTGCAATGGACCTGAGGCTCTGTGAACTGGGCAAGGACACAGGATAGACAGGGAGGAGATTTGGAGACACTGGAAAGCTTCCAGTCTCAAATGCTCCCAGGTCTTCCCTCCCTCCCCACTGCCTCACACACACTGTGGGCTCTGATGGGAAGTGGCTGGAGAAGCTGCTCACCAGCACACTAACTTGATGCTACCAGAGATTTGGGTCTCTTCAAAAGAAGCTGTGCTTGCTTATTTTTATGTAAAATCTCCATATTCAAAGACTGGCTTTAACCATGTATGCATTCCATCAAAACAGGACTGCCCACAGAGGCCTCCAGTGAGTGACACTTGGTGTGAGAACCCAGGAGGCATCTATTGAGAGGACCTCCACATTTACACAATCCTGAAGAGAAAACAGAATTAAGAATGTTTCTAATAGGCTGG